AACATTCAACCTACTATGTTACGGTTTGTTTCAAAGTTTTTGAAACATTATCTATGACCCACAAATATGTAGATAAGAAATTTACAATGAAATAAACAAAGATTATTGTCACACAATGTACACCACATTATCGCTACACTTTAATTTTCAGTGGAGTACTCGTATATTAAACACACAATTGACATTAAAGTCGAACACTCATTCTATATTTACCCTACCTGATTTTTGCAAGAGATATTAAGAGTGCTTTTATTTTCCGCATGGAATTATATTTCGGAGATTAACGACAGGAAAAAGAAAATTATCCGTTCGAAAATCTTACATTAATGTTAGTTGTGAAATTCAACTAAACATGAATGGAATAAATTTTTAGCAAATCTAGTCAAAAGTCACCTACTTTTGGACTTAGTAGTTTAAGAGACTACTTCATCTAATGGAGTTTTTTTTGCCATTGTTAGAAAGAAAATTGCATATTAAAATATTTAATAATATGATAATGAATAGTACATTACTATGACGTAATTATTGGTTCAAATCAAATTAGGTGTACATATATAAAATTTTCTAATTGTTTTGTGAACTAATCGTGAAGGAACCACTTGAAAACTATGAAGGAAATATGAATACTAGGACAAACATATTTAGATGTTTTTTATAGTTAAAAGTTGTAAATTTGGAGTAATTAAAATCACAGATTATTTCAAAAATCGAAATATCAATTTTTACTGACATCATTGCTTACAAAAAGGTGATGGCACCAAATTTCGGATGTCAAGTTTTCAGTGGAAACGCACTTTTCGATAGAGAGGAAGCGTAAATAAACTTTTTTTAGAGAAATGTACGTCTGTATGTGCATGCGTGTATCTCAAGTTCGGCCGAACGGATTTTAATGAAACTTTGTGAGTTTATTTTGGCTATGGCACGAATTGATCAACTTTTGGAATATACCAAAAGTTGATTGGTTTTACAATTTTACGTATATAAATAGAAATGATCAACCAATTTCCTCGAAATTTCATATATAAATTCGGGATGTTCAAAATTATGAATCTGTAAATTTTTTGGAAAAATCAGAGCTCAGAAACAGAATTGGAGGCCGATTTTTCCATATCTACGAAACGGTATAATCGAATTTTTTATAATATTTTTTATAAAACATTTTTATAATATTCTGTGATATTATCAATAAACTTAGCAATGCACATTGCGGCCAGTTATGTGCTGATAACATCAGATTTTTTCTTATCTTGAGAAGAAAAAATAGAAATTTCAAATTTTATATCCGTTATATAAGTGTTTACAAAACTTCTTCACCCTTTAATCTTTATCTTTATTATAAATTTATTTATTTCAAAATTTTTACTTTTACCGGCTCTAAAAGTTGTAGCCTCTCAAAACTTTAACAATGCCATTTTTTGCTGTTCACTTATTCAAGGGAAGGTGCTCGTTTGCAAACTATTGGTTAAATCGAATTTTATTATTCTCTTATTTTTTTATAAATTTAATTTATAATATATTAATTTTTAACATTTTTAATAATTTTAAAAATTATTTTTTTAAAAATCATCCATTATTTCTAAGATTTTCTCTCTTTACAACTTATTCCGATTATCTGTTTATTCTTGTGCCCCTTTAACAAATTTACATTTTTTAATAAAAATACAATTTTATACGCAAATGAATTTTCGTGAGAAACATATTTCTATAAAATTTTCTCGCTACCTATAACAGAAAGATTTCTTTTAAACTTATTTCTCGCTATCTAAATTATGTTAGAATACGCTTATCACCGTAAACTGGAGTTTCTTCGCCATATACGTTTCTTTGTAAAACAAGGTATTTTAAGATAGGACGACACAAGAAAAATACTTGGTCTGGAAAACTAAAATTGGATTTTATACATTTGCAAAACAAATACAAAAAACAATTACCCACAAAGATTAAACCTTTCAACAAATCATACTTTTAATAATTGGGGTGATTGGCATTTTTATTAGTTGTTTGGAAAATTTTGTCATTCATAGATTTATACAATATACCCAAATACCCTAAATATTTACTCAAGAATCCTCCAGGCACCCCCATTCCTAACAACCTTCAAACACTTTTTTAAAAAGCCATTGCTAACTATTTTCAAATAAAGTTCGGTCTACACAATACGGTTACAAAACTAAAAAGTCAGAATCCTTTTCAAAGTATGTATATTTACAAAATATCTATTCTTCAAATACTTTTAAATTGTTGAATATGATATTTGAAATTTATACCACTCTTAACGTTTAGCATGCGTTATACATAGTAAATTATAACACGTCAAATTAACGATCATAGATATTCAATAATATAAAAACATACTTCAAATAAGTTGAGCCAAAATCAAAATGAACAACATTTAATATTAATTAAAGTTAACCTATAAAAGTTAAGGAATTTTCTTTCATTTTATATTTTCAATTAAAATTAAGTATGTGTCATACTAAAGCATAAAACTGGAAAAGGGACACCAATATATTTTCATATTTATGTATAGATAGTTGTAAATAAATTCATAGATACGTAAGAGATGGCAGAAATTGTTCGGTTAACTTATTTATCAACCATCTGCTCTTTACATTCTGGCCATTTTAATTTTTTCCAATTTTCAGTTGATGATTTTCTGATCCCAAAAGATAATCCATTAACTCTGTTACCCAATCATTTTTCATTCATTTATTTATTTTTTCAGTTATTTATTAGACCCAAAATTAAAGTATCCAAAAACAAAAAAAAAAATGAGCTTGATCCAAAAAACACAAATTTGGATCAACCTAATGGCTCGCAAAGTAGCACCTTTCCCTTGAAGAAGTGAAAATACTTTTTTGAAAAAACCTGTTTAAATTATTTTAATTAAAGACAAAAATTACAAATTCCTGTTTTAACTACTCTAATCAGACTACCGAAATATTTAAAATTATTGCAAATATTTGGCACAAAAAATTTTAAGAAAAAAAATTTGAAGTTTAAGTAGATAAGTTAAAATAACGAACTATACATTTCTTGATGGTAATGCATTTACAAATTTTAAAAATATTGACTCAGAGAACAAAAGTTTCCTTCTAACGAAATAAACTTTTTATTAATGTCTAAAAGCTGCTATAATTTAAGACTCCACTGCTTACCGTTTAAAAAAAAAATAATAACGAAAATTTTAAAAAAGAGGATTTTGTTGTTTGAGAGATAGGTCTTTTTTGTTATTTCAATGTTTAATTATGCTGTTCGCGATAAAAATGTTTGTGATGAAAATAAATAGTCAAAAAATCGCACTTCTAGAACTTTGAAGAGACTAGTTTTTAGAGGACGGGATATTTGCAAAAAATTATTTGTACAAAAATAAGTTTTAATAAAGATCTATTCGTGTATAAACACAGAAGCCGACACATGAACGAAAAGAGTCAAACAAATAAACACTTTTTTTTACAATATTTTTTTTTTTGAAAAGTGCTAAAAGCAAGTAATACCTTGATGAAGGCATCATCACAAAATCTGTAATCCAGCCGTCGTATGTTTTTATATTGTCATTAAAATCGGGCAATATTCAAAGGACATTTTATTTTCTAATTTTTTTTTTTTGTATTTTCGAGATCCTAAAGTTGTTTAAATAATTTTTTTTTCAGGAAAAAGCTTGTCCCAGTATATAATTTCTATAAAAAATATGTATATAATGGGATTTTGTTATACCCTGCACCTTCGTGAAGACTATATTTACTTTGACATGGAGTTTGAAATCACTGGAAGGAGTCGCTCTCCGTTATGGACATATATATATATTCTTACTCAGCATCAATTTAAACATGTTCGTCCGTCCGTCCATCTGAAAGTACGATAACTCAAAAACGAACAAAGCAAATATGATTATACTTTCACAAGTTGCTTCCTATTGTTATTGGACAAGTTCAGACAATGGATTCGGTTGCCATACAACTCCAAAAGATTATTTTAAATATTTCAAAAACTAATAAAGATATTGATATCAAATTTTGCAAAGATGTGTCTAATTACATTCTGCATGTTCTGAATTTTAATGCAATGGCTACACTGGTTCGGGTAGCTGCCATACAACTCCAAAAACTAATTTTAAATGTTTGGAAAAACAATAAAACTAGATTCATGAAAGTTCGCAGTCATGTGTACAATTATAGGTCACATATGTTTCTAAAGTTTTGCTAGAATGGCTTGACAGGTTCGGGTAGCTGCTATGCAAATCTAAAAACTAATTTTAAATATTCGAAAAGATAATAAGGCTAGATTCGTGAAACTTGGCAGTTATGTGTCAAAACTATAGATCGAAAATATTCGTGCAGTTTCTTTAGAGAAATTTGAGCGGTTCGAGTACTTGGTACACAACAATCAAAGCTAGGTATTTCAAAAACAAATTTTAAACTCAGATTGTCAAGGTGCAGGGTATAATTCGGTCGGTTTATACCGACTGAAACTTTTTTACTTGTTATGTATTATTTTCGTTTTGTTAGATTTTCTTCAGTTACAACTGTGTCATAAAATTTACTTAATTATAATCGAAAAAACATGCAAAAAATAAAAGTAAATAGAGAAGTAGGAAATGTTATAACTTTGTATTGTTATGTAAGTAGAAAATTGTGAGCGAAAATTTTTTCGAAACTAAATTTAAATGATCCCTTTCGTCTTCACTGATTTTAAGGATCGTGAAGAAAATTATGTAAAATTTTAATATATTTACCATTAAGGAAAAACATTTAACTAACAATGTTGACAGAAATTTTTCATTAGTTTCTTAACTTAAATAAAGTTGGGTCAAATCAGTGGTTTGTGATGGAACGATTTCCCCTTGAACAAATGAAAATTTAGTTAATAACAAAGCAATCCACTCTATTATTTAAAATAAATTATTTCAACATTTATTTTCTTAAATTTAAGCTAAAACATTAAATAATTATTATAATTTTTTTACTCAATTTAATTTTAATTAATTTTGTTTACTTCAGGTATTTGCAATGTTCGGTGTTATGAGATTTTATAATTTACTGCGGGCTGGTATCACATGGAAAGGACCTGAAGTGATAGAACTATGATATAACGCCAATACACAAAGTAATTTTAGAGCATACCTGCAAGATAACACTAGAAAAGGTATAGGAAATGGTGATAATTGCTGTTATGAATATTATTATGATGATAGTGATGATACAGCATTAGAAGATTGTGATGACGATATTGATTATGACGACAATGATTGTGATGACATTGATTATGCTAATGACTATAATAATTTGGTACACTCGAATGATGCTGAAACTGATTTAGATTACAATGGAAACAACGGTAATAAATTTACTTAAAATAATTTAAAATAATTTTATGTAATTATATATATATTTAGGTGGTGGTGGTTGTGGTGAAGCTAATTATAATGGCAATAGTGATAGAACATTTTTTTATAACTATTGTGGAAAGCAAGAAAATCATCAATATTTAAATAACAAATCTGTTTTCTCATCAAATAAATATAATAATTATAATTATATTAATAGTAGTAGTAATTGTAATAAAAATAGTTTTACAATAAATTCAAACAGTAGAGGCGTTAATTTAGCGGTCGGTGTGTTACGTAGTATAAGAGGAAAATATAAAAAATCATTTAATAGTTCAGGTAACAAATCTAAATTATCAAAATGGCAACACCAAAAGAATGTTAGCTCAAAATATTGTAGTAATCAATATCATTCACATTATGGACATCAATCAACAAAATTGGATGTTATTGATGAGACTGGAAAGAGTAACGCTGGCAGTGGTAGCGACGAAGATGATTCATTATTAGTTGCCTATGATAGAAGCAGTAATAGCAAAATACAAACGGTTTGACATTTGAGTTATTTTCGTAATATATTGCAGGCTGTTCTTATGGGTTTTTTAATTGGAGCTCAAATTTATGCTCAAATTGTTTTAATAATTTAATTGACATATGCATGTACATGTATGTATGTAAATATAATTATGTATATAGATATCAGTGTTACCTTGCATATTAATTTATTTATATGTATACATAAAATTGCATAAAAAGCTTTTCTTTGTTTTTGTATTATATTTTGCATACAATAAGTTGGTTATGTGATGGCATCGAATTTCACACGTCGAGTTTTCGGCGGAAATGTGTTTCTTAATGCTGCGGAAGTGTAATTACACTATTTTTAGAGAGATGTCTGTGGGTCTGTCCGTCTGTCTTATATTTGAGTGTTCAACTTTAAGATATGTTAGGTCTTTTTAACTCGATTTTTACTAGGGGCCGATTTTATGTATTTAACTGTATCCATAAAACAGTACGAGAAAATAACAAACTTTTAGAAAAAATCAGGTGGCAGCAACTTCATGATTTATATTTCTCCATATATAAAAGGAAACAACGAACCGATTTCCTTGAAATTTAATATATGAGTTCATGATAATAAATTGAAAAAAATTGTAAAAAAAATATCAAGGTACAAATTGTAAAAAATCTGGAGATATAAGGGTATGAAAACCGAACTATTTTTTTGCTTATCTAAGGAACTAATTAACGAAATTTTTTGAAATTTCATATGTATTTGAACTCTGTTTGCTACTGGAAGCAACTTTTAGGGAATCCAAATAACATAAATTAAAACTTTAATAAGAGCCAAATTCACATTTTTCTTTTTTATCTTTGTTATCTAACAGTTTAACAGGGTCGTTAAAATTTGGAAGAAGTATTTGAAAGACATTTTCAGAATTTTATGAAAAGTTTTCGCTAAACTGAACAGTGCACCTTGCGGGTCCGTTAAATGGGCTGACCACATCAGATTTTTTTATTTTTCTGTTGTATTCAATAGAAGATAATTTTTTGTGCAATTTATCAATTCCACCAAATCCATTAATTAATATTTCAAAAACAATTATTACATTTTTTTATTGGATTAAATTCTAATTTGGTTATAATAAATTTTTGATTAAGATATCCAATATTCATTAAAATGTTTAAAGTGCTGTAAAATTTTGTGTGTTGAAACAAATTTTTGAAAATGAAAAGATTTGTAAATTTAGCGATCCTTTCGGGTATATTAAATATTATTTTCAAATACTTCATTTTGTTTAATACTTCATTAATTAAATTTATTAAAAATTTTGTCTTTAACTCACAATTACTAACAAATAGATATTGAAATCGATTTTTATACGATTATAATCGAAATATCTACTTATAGAACCTCAATAAACATGAAAGTGTAAAGTATTAAAATAAGGTGCCCACAAAGAATAAACAAAATCTTGCTAAAAATTTTCAAATTCAATAAAATTCAAAAGAAAAACTGAAATTTACATATTTTGAAAAATAAAACACTTCTACATTTTCGAACTCCCATTTTTGAAATTTCCTACAGAGTACTTAATTATCAAATGTAATACATTAAATAAGATCTGAATCACAAAAAGCAAACCATCACAATCATCAAAATACAAGTTATATTAAAAATTGCACTATTTTTTCAAACAAATTATGCTTCGCTAAAGTCTTAAGTCTAAAAATTTCATTCATTCATTCACAAAAGGCCATTGTTACAATATTTGTCATGCAAATAATTTAGAAAAATTTGGTTTTGTTCAATTGTATATGCCTATTATTTAAAAAATTAAAAAGGACATACAATACAATTAAAGAAGAGCTTTTAATATAATTATTTATTAAAAATCGTAAATAAATAAGAACATAATGATTTAGTAAATATAAATGTATGTACATAAATTGTAAATAATTTCCCATACAATCTTATCTTATGTAATTGTGTGGGATTAAAATTTTCACAGAAAGTGTTAACAAAACATAAATTAAAAAAAGAAAAAAAAGAAACATTTCAAATATTATGTAAAACAAAATTAAAATAAAATGAAAATTGCAAAAAAAAAATTAATTTAGAAGACGCTTACATAACTTTATACACCACATGAAATATGTATTAAAAAAATATAAATCCGCTAAAAAGAAATTATTATTAATAAAAATTTAAAGTTGAAATATAATTATAAATTACAGAAACAATATTATTGTATATATGTTTTTTATAAAATAAGCTATTTGAGAGCTGGTCTCTCTGAAATGCTTTAGTTATAATTAGACTGAATTTTGTATTAAAAATAAATTATACTATGCTGTTCTTATATACAATATATATGTATGTACAAAATAGTTTATAATACGTATATAAAAATTATTACTTATGTACAAATTCATATACATAAAAACGCGCTTGCATTTATATAGATAAATAACAAAATATAGAAAGAGAGAGTAAAAAAATTCAATTCTATTGCAATGCAATATTAAACCAGTTAAAGTTAATTAAATCAAATAAATTTTTCTTTCAATAATTTTAAACACGAACGAACAAAGATTACGCTTTTATACCTTTCGCATTGGTATTATAAATTTACCACTTCATCAGTCCGTCCGTATATCGCCTGTCGATACGCGTAACTCGCAAACTCATTAAACCAAGCCAACCAAATATCCAGCAATTACTAAGAGTCGTCACCACAAGAATCCTATTCGATATGGTTTCAATCAAAGTAGTGGCCCAAGTAGCTGTCATACAACTCTAAAAATAATTTAACCCTATTTTTGGAACTCTGAAGTAAAAAATATTAAACTTCCAAATAAGATATAACCACTGAGGTTTTTGCAAGGTCTGCAAAATCTGAGCATATCTCGGAAGTTATAAAACTATAAAGCGTACAACATTAAAAGAAACATTTCGTTTAGACGAATATAATTATAGGGCTTTTATTCCAGTGAAGATTGTTAATTGTTTCATAAGTTGTTATAGTAGCTACCGTACAAATTTGAAAATAAATTGTATTAGCCAAAACAAATTGCGAATTATATGCACGCACACCAAATGCGACTAATATTAGTAACAGCACAATTCTAAAAAATTTTAGTAATAAATCTTTTTGTCAACTGTCAACATAGCTTTTAAAAAGCATTCATACCGATATCATAGAGTTGACACGGTCAACTCTAGTTTTACTCTTTTAATTAAAAAAATTCCTTAGGTAGATAATGTAACAGTTTCGTGCTGTTACTTTATACAACACTACAATCACACATAACCCGAAATTGAATAGCTTTTATATAAAAAGATAAATTTATCTAAAAAATATGCCCTGCTATATGTTTAATATCTTTATTATCTTTGAAATAATGTTAGAAGTTGTTATACACATTATAACAGTTGAACATTTTTTCAACTGTTCAACTTTAATTAAAATTTTTTAATATTTTCTTCAACCAAGTTTTAATCATGAAGCTATGTTTTCAACGTGTTGAAGGGCCAAGTTAAATAGTGGATGGGCATCGAAAAATAACATCAACGTTTAAGCTGAATTCATGTTTTTCTACTCGCAAACAAATAAGAATATGATTATGAGCAAAAGTGTTAGCCTTTATCTAACATTTCTCTTTATTTTTTCTCCAAATCTCGTAGTGAATTTAGTGAATATTCAAAACATGATAACCTTACATGAGGAGAATTAATAAAATTTCTTATTTGAAATGTTGTTAACACCTAAAATAAGTTACATATTCAAAATATTAAAATGGGTTTAAATTTACATTTTAGACAACTCAATATTGAAGCCATAACACAAACCGTAAATTTGTATAATACATATATGTATATATTATATTCTAATATTTCTTTATTAAAATTTATAACATGATTATAAAACAAAGTTCCAATTCGCTCATATTAAGAATTTTCTTCTAAGAAAAGCACCTTTTCAGGACATGATATCAAGATATTTTTGTTTTGTGGTATCAATTTAATATTTTTGTACCCACAAATCTAAAAAGAATTATTATCTACCCGGTCGTGTTAAAAATATATACAAACATATGTACCTACTTAATTCTTAAATAAATTAAACCTTGAATTTTTAATTATTTTTGGTGAATTTCGCTTAAAGTCACATGCTACCATGACATTTTTGTTAAAATAAAAAACAGATCATATTTTTTATTTTAACATTTATGTAATCATATACAGAAATACACAGCTTTAAATAAATACGTTAAACATGTACATTCATTTTGTCCGTTTTCTATAGATGATATTGAATGACGTGACTAAAAAAGAAAACGACCTTCACCGACCTTTATTGAAAAACGAAAAAGCCTTAAATTAAAACATCTTTTTATATCGTCCCAATATTGCTCTTATATAAATAAAATATATCTACAAAACATTTTTATTTTAATTCCAAACTAAATTCGGCTGAAAGTGAAATAGCGAGAGTTTACAATTCGATTCTAATATCAAATTTTAAGAATTAACTTTTTATTATATAATCGGAAAATTATATAATAAAAATTTTCGGAAAACTATTTGTTCATATGTATGTATATTATGCACCGAATGTTATTAAGAATTCCAATAAAATTTTTCTTTATAGTAAGAACTTTCACCTTATTTTTAATCAGGCTTATTTCGAATGAAGACATTTTCCTTATTAATGAATTCAGAGTTCTTTTAAAATTTAAGTAAATCTAGAAGTAAAATTTCTAGAAACCATCAAAAATATTTATTTTCTCAGAAAAACAATTTCTTAAAAACGCAAACATGTATAAGAATTGGTGAGTGTGATTACAACAAATTCATACAACACTCTTGTGGATAAAAACACCATACTGCACAAATTTTTGCGTTTTGTTTTAGTTTGGAATATAAAATTGCACATATTTCTAAAAAAAACCTACAAAAAATAAATCTCAGGTTATTGAGAGGAACTAAGAGTTTAACATAAATTTACTCTCAACTGAGCATATTTTATTTATTAATTTATAATACAAATATACTAACAAGCAAATGAATGAATAATTCTCACAATGAATAAATAATTGTCACTGAGCTCAACAAATAATCAAATATTTCTACAATATTAAAAAAAAATAATTTCTATATATACGTAAGTATAAATATAAACATTTATTTTAAGTTAGTGATTATCTAAAAAAATACCCACATAGACATGTACATACATAAATAAAAGTTTTTGAAAGTATTAAAAACAAAATTAATGCTTTTCCGGGCCGATTTTGCGTTTTTCACCATATCTACGGAACGAATTAATGGATTTTCTTGAAATTTGATATTTGAGATCTGGTTTTTACCGAAACTAACTGGCGAGCATTTCAGGGAATTCGAGTAGCACAAAGCGAAACTCTACTAAGAGCCAAATTTACATTTTTCTAGGTATGTTAACAATAAGCTTACTAATGTCACAAAAATTGGAAAGAAATATTTAACAGACATTTTCATAATATTCTGTAACACTTTCATTTAACTAGACAATACACAATGCGGTCGGTTATGTGCTGACCACATCAGATTTTTTTTATTTGAATATGATTTAAAACAGTTTAAGAAATGCAATATTTATTTATAGTTATATTTTTGAGCCGTTCACGAAAATAAATTATCGAGCTAGAATAAAAAAAATTCTGAATAGGCCACAATTATTTCGTATGTATGTATGTATATATTTTTCAGTTAAATTCAAAATATTGTTCGAGGAATTGAGAAATATTTAATATTGAGCACATTACAAATAAATTCATTCTGATTTGATAATGTTTTTATTTGAATTTCTATAAACTTGTGTTAATCAAAATATTTTTTATGCAGCTACAATTTATTTTGAGAAACAAGAAACGGCTTTTGCTAATAGGGGTATATCTTTATTATAACATTCATATATCAAAATTGGATTTTGATAGCGCGTGAAGTACTGAAATATGCTTATCTTATATAAAGATAAAAATGTAAGCAAAGGGTGTAAATGTATTTGAGTAAATTTGATTTGGGTGTCACAATTAATAATTATGGTTAAAATGGTTTATAATCAAAAATTGTAAATTTTTTATTGTATTACAAGTTATTAAATATTTTATGTTCAAAGCAGAAAATAATAGGATCTTCAAAATGGTTTATGACCACCTAAGAAATGGGTTTTTTTAATGTTCTTTTGTCAAATAGTCAAAATTAACCAAACCACCGAAAAACCGACAGCTGTTTATTACATAAGCAAAACACAGTATACACTGATTGATATCAAACAAAATACAAATCACACTCCCCATCACACCAGCAAATATTTGTAGTTTACTTCAATTTTATAGTTTTTTTTTGTTTTGAAAACTTTCAAAATTGAAATACAAAAATCCGACCGTACTTATTATAATAAAAAAAAAAAATAAAAATTAAAAATAAAATTTATATTTTTTATCAAACGCTTGTAAATAATGTAAAAATCAAAAAAAAACAAAATGTATTCAAATTTAAAAATGAAATTTTCTATAGGTATTAAAAAATTAATGAAAATTTAATGTTACATTTAAAGAATATATTTGCACACATATGTGTTTGTATATAATGTGTGTTGTACGTACATATGTCGATATAATATCAAATAATATAAAAAAAAAACTATTTATATCTATAGAATATTTACGATTACGTCAGAAATATCAATATAGAAAATAATATTAATC